CCATAGGAAGTCTGTGGCCTTCTTTACCAAGTTGAAGAAGGGTTTACATTTGTCTGAGCTTCTGCTGATGAACCTGTTTAGGGCTGCGGCCCTTCCAGTAAGCATCTGAACCTATTTTGCTGACGTCGGGCTTTTTAGCTCTAGGATGGCCTTGATTTGATCTGGGCTGGCCTCAATGCCCTTTCTTGTTACCAGGTACTCCAAAAATTTACCTGATCCAACTCCAAATGCGCACTTCGATGCGTTGGGTCAGAGCCGGTATGTTTTGAGTATCTCAAAGACCTCTTTTAGGTCGGCAAGATGACCTCTTGGATCCTTGGTCTTCACGACCATGTCGTCAATGTAGACTTCCACTGTTTGGCCAATCAGATTTTTGAACATCTTGGTTACCAGCCTTTGGTAAGTTGCTCCGGCGTTTTTCAACCCAAAAGGCATTACCTTGTAACAATACAGTCCTTTCGGGGTGATAAACGCTGTCTTCTCTTCATCTGAAGGATACATGGCTATCTGGTGGTATCCTCTGTAAGCGTCCAGGAAGCTCATCATTCCATGTCCAGATGTGGCGTCTACCAACTGATCAATCTTGGGTAGAGGAAAGCAGTCTTTGGGACAAGCTTTGTTCAGGCTTGTGAAATCTACACAGACCCGCCATTTACCGTTCTTCTTCTTTACCACTACTGTGTTGGATAGCCATGTCGGGTAATGAACGTCTCGGATGGCCTTGGCCTCCAGAAGTCTGTCCACTTCTTCTTCTACTGCTTCGACGTGCATCAACGTCGGTTTTCTGGCTCGTTGAATCACAGGTTTTGCCGACCTGTCGACATTCAATCTGTGGCAAGTGACCTCGGGGTTAATACCAGGCATTTTGTAAGGTGTCCGGGCAAACACCTCAATGTTGGCTCTTAAAAAAGTCTCCAATTCTTTTTCCTCTTCTTCGGCTAAGCCCGAGCCGAGAAGAAAGAAGCGTTCTTCGTCTCCATCCTGGACGAGGATTTTCTTTAGCGCCTCTTCGCTCTTCTCGGCTGGTTCTTTGCCGACGTCTTCTAGTACTTCCACGTCCTCATCTTCAATTTCTACCTCTTTTGGCTCTTGAACGCTGCAAGTAGACTTCATTGCTGCCATGGAGCAACTTTTTGCTTGCAGTTGATCTCCTCTGACTTCTTCACTCCCATGCTCTGTTAGGAACCGCAGTAGTTGATGCAATGTTGAGGGAACTGCCCCCATTGCATGCAACCATGGTCTTCCCAAGATGATGTTATATGGTGAAGGTGTGTCAATCACCATGAATTCTGTCCTGATCTTCTTAGTGCGAGCTTGTACTTCTAAGCTTGTTGCGCCCAGTGGCCACGTTGGCGTTCCATTGAAGCCGACCATCGGGTTATTGGATTGTTCCAAGTCATCAGGATGAAGGCCCAGCTCCTTGTAACATCTAACATACATGATGTCACAAGAGCTTCCTTGATCAATCAGGATGCATTTTACTTGGCACTCCCCAACCTGGAGAGATACTACCAAGGCACCATTATGTGGATGCTGGACCATCTCTAGGTCGGCTTCAGTAAATGCTATCGTCGGTCCCTGGCATTCTTCAAGCCGAGGTCGTTTATGTCCAACCTAGTTCACGTGCTGCAGGTGTCTTACCTTCTGGGTCTCCCCTCGTATGTCGTTTTCGTTCGCCTTTGAGTGAATTACGTTAACCACCCGTGGTGCTCCTGTGGGTGGTTGCTGTGCTGGGGGGGGGGGGGAGCTGCTGGTGCTTGAGGCAATCTTGCCTGTTCTTCTCTAGTCCTGGCTTCATCAACAAGGTCCCTGAGATGTCCTTGCCTTACCAAGTCTTCTAAGTGTGCTTTTAGGGCTCTGCAGCCCTGAGTTGGGTGCCCTTCTTCATTGTGGTAAGCACAACGCCCACCGACGTTTCTTCCCATGAATTCCCCTGGTGTTCTTGTCAGTCCTCTGAAATAGGGTTGATTTCGTATTTGATCCAAGACTTTATGGATCGGGACTTGGAATATAGTCGTTACTGCCTGTTTTGCCTTCAAGTCCGTTTCTTGCTTGGTCGGTCTGTTGTTACCTCGGCTTCGCTTCGGCAAGCTGTTTCCTTTCTCTTGCTTTATTTCTTTATTTCCCGACGTATCTTCCTCGGCTCTGACATATTTCTCTATTCTTGCCATGAGTTCTTCCATGCTTTTTGGCAATGTCTTTGCCAAAGATTTCCGTAATGGGCAGTCATCTTTCAGGCCGTTCTTGAAGGACACGACCGCCACCTCTTGTTTGCAATCGTGTATTCGATTGAACACCTCGTAGTACCTTTTTGCGTAGGCCCTAAGGCCTTCATCCTTGGCGATCTTTAAAGCCATCAGTGCGTCGACCCTCAAGGGCTGAAGTTTATTTGTCACAAACCTGGCCACAAACATCTCAGCCAGGCCTTCCCAAGTCTTTACGCTTCCCTTCGGTAGTTTATGGAACCAATCTGATGCAATTTCCCCAAAGGATGAGGGGAATACTTTGCAGAGCAACGGCTCGTTCCCACTATATAACGCCATTGAATTCAGGTATAGCCCGACGTGGAAGTTGGGATCTGACTTACCATCATATATTTGGAACCTCGGCATACTGAATCGCTTTGGTGCTTGAAATTTGTCCAGTTCCACCGAGAATGGTGTCCTCGGCTTAACCGGGGAAGTTACCTCGGCTTCAGCATTCTGTTGTTTCCTCTTGAGGTAATCTCTCAAGTCTTCTTTACTCCTCCCTGGAGCTCGGCTATCTCTGGACTTCAATCTCTTTGGCACACTACTTTCGGCCTCGTGGTGGGCTCGTTTTGATCTCTCTCCATGTGTTGTATCAAAGCAGAGCGCCTGCCCTTGAACATGCCGATGTTCTTTGGGCTCTGGATCCTTCGTGTGATACGTTCTTCGGGACTCCTCTCGTCTCGACTCTTCTCGTCCGCCTTCCCCGGAAGGTCGGTAAGAGTGCCTTCCGCTCCTGGTGTGCTGAGGGACTTCGGGGATTGTTCTTCTTCCTCCCTTATGGGTGTTAGTTGCCGGCATCGGCGTATCCTGCAGCGAGTTTGGTGGCTGCATGACATTGTTTTGCATCATGAAGTTGACCACTGACTGTAGGTCTGCCAACTTGTTTGCCAAGTCTTTTACTTCCTCATCCCTCCGTAGGCACCTATCCCTCCATACCTGAAGGTTATCTTCGTTATAGTATTTGCTTTGGTTTGTTCTCTTCGAAGTGTCGCCCTCCTGGCCGACGTCTTTCTCTTCGTGGCCCTGGTCATGAGTTTCTGCATTGTGGTTGTCTCCTTCAACATCAAGGTCAATTGGTCTGCCACTCCCGGCAGGAGTGTCGCCCCCATTGTTTTCCCTCTATCCGTTACTGGCCATCTATTCTTCTAAGTTTCTCACAGACGACGCCAAATTGTGTGGGTGATTTTTTGACCACACTGCCCGCCTAGTAATCAGCTAGAGAGTACCGGCAGAATAGATGGCTTCAACTAACCTGCAACAGAAAGAAAAGGCTCTGGTGGTGGCTCTTCCACCCGGGGGCACTCCGACGATCAAGTCAATATATCTCTCAAAGATATTCAAGTACTAAACTCACTACTCAAGACATAAAACTGCGTACCTTAGACCCACGGGGGTGCCTCTCTTGTATAGTTTACTCAATCCTAGTCCCACTAGAAGCTTGACTTCTATGGACTCCAATTCAGTACTTACTTTGGACTCCTCAAGAGATAAAGATAAACTCCCTAAGAGCTTTATCCTTATCTTGGCTAAGTCCCCTCTTTACTCTAGGACTCTTGTCCCTTATCTTTTATCCATTTATCTCGGATTTCGATATCTTCGGAGATAACCTCGGCCTTGCCGAGATAACCTCGGCGTCACAACCTGGACACGTGGCACCTCGGCTGACACGTCGGCGTCACCTTGCCACGTGTTGGTATTCAGAAAATACATCCCCACAGTCATACATTTCAAAGTATGAATACTTTTCTTAGTATTTTTATAGGTACACAACATTGCTTAGTTCTCCTACTCTAATCCAAAACCAACAATAACATTGTTTGTTACCATCAAGGATGTAGCCTAGAGGGGAGAAGCAACATAGTTTTAATCCACCTTTGTTCTCAGCTTCTGTTTGCTAGGACCCTAGTGGTCTGGGGTAAAACTATGACTCAAGTCCATCTGAGAGAGCACATGTGGTAACCCCACTTTATGGGGCACATTTGGGTCCCTCCTATTTGGCTCTCTTGCGAACAAGAACTTTTTGGTCACGTCCAATGAGGATTGCCACGGATCTAAGATTAAGGGTCATCATTTAGTCTCCAACCCAGTATGTTTTTACCGACCCAACCTCGTATCCCAGGCAGGCTAGCCCGACTCAAATGAGGCTTAGGTTGGGCAAGCATAGCGTTTGAAGCTTGGCCCTGGCCGGCGGCCCGTCCATTATCTAGCCCATGTGATTTGACCCATTCGCTAGTAAGAGTTGGCCCACAAGCCCTACAAAAATCTATGAAAATAAATGGAAAAAATGGAAACAATTTCAAAAAAATAGGCCTAAATGTCAGCTAGATAAGCTAAGCATGTGGGCCAACCCATTGGCCCACTGGGCTAACCTACTATCTGACAAGAAAAAGCAAAAAACCATGTTCGGCGTACCCCAAGTGCGCCAGGCACCATTTTCATGGCCTGGCTCGACTTGATGCTGACCTTTAGTTACCGTTGGTCATCACCCTTTACTTTTTTATGAGAAAAGTTAGGGATTATGAAATTTTTTTCATGAAAATGATCATGAAAGATTTATGATCCTTGAATTACCTTGATTAGTGCGTGGTGCTTTATTCTAAGTGTAATTCAAGGATTACAAAACTTTCATGATTATTTTCATGAAAGGTTTTTTATGATACCTAGCATTGCTGCTTTTTTATCAAGCCAAAAAAAAAAAATAAAAAAAAAGAAAGTAATAACATTGTTTGTTGTACATGCATTGCATTGTAGGGCATTACATGAGAAAGAGAAAAGAAGCAAGGGAGGACTCACAAGGCTCCAGTTTTTCCTCATGGTCTTTATCTCAACCTTCTCCTACTACCTCATCCCCAGCTACTTCTTTCCCTCCATGTCGTCCCTCTCATTCGTTTGCTGGATTTGGAAGGACTCCATCACTGCCCAGCAGCTCGGCTCCGGCCTCCATGGCATGGGCCTTGGCTCCTTCGGCTTTGACTGGTCCACTATCGCTGGCTTCCTTGGCAGCCCTTTAGCCTACCCCGCTTTTGCCATCGTCAATGTCATGGTCGGCTTCTTCCTGACTGTCTATGTGATGATCCCTGTTGCTTACTGGTCTAATGCCTATGAGGCCAAGAGATTTCCTTCTGCCAAGACTTTTGATTTCACTGGGCATACTTATAACATAACAAGAGTTTTGAATCAAGAGACTTTTGATCTTCATGAAGCTGCGTATAATGGGTATAGCAAGCTGTATCTCAGTGTCTTCTTTGCCTTCACTTATGGGTTGAGCTTTGCTACTCTTGCTGCTGCTATTTCACATGTTGGACTCTTCCATGGGAAGTAAGTTTCTCTTTTCAAGTTTGATTTTGGATTTTTTTATTTTTTATTTTTAGCTAGTAGATCAGACTTAATTTTTTAAAATTTAAATGAAATTATTTTTTGTTTTCAGAACAATTATGAGGATGTGGAAAGGCACAGCAGTTGCATTGCAGAAACAGATGGGTGATGTGCACACAAGAATAATGAAGAGGAACTATGAAGAAGTTCCAAGCTGGTGGTTTTACACTATCTTGGCTGTGACTTTGGCTCTTTCTCTCATTACGTGTGAGGGTTTTGGTAGACAACTCCAACTCCCATGGTGGGGAATTTTACTTGCCTGTGCCATGGCTTTGTTCTTCACCTTACCCATTGGCATAATAACAGCCACAACAAATCAGGTATTCATAAAGAGTAGTTTTATACAAAATAAAAGAAAGAATTACACAGAATGATGTGACAAATTAAAGGCACCTATTTTCTCAATTTCTTAATGTGATGGCCTTAACATTGCAGCAACCGGGTCTAAATGTGATCACAGAGTTGGTAATCGGGTATTTGTACCCAGGAAAGCCTCTTGCAAATGTTGCTTTCAAGACCTATGGTTATATAAGCATGTCACAAGCAATCATGTTTCTTTCAGACTTCAAATTAGGCCACTACATGAAGATCCCTCCCAAATCCATGTTTGTGGTTCAGGTATATGACATGAATTCTGAAAATTTATGTCTGACATTTTTTTAAATTACTGTTTATTTTATATTGCTCTGGTTGAATTGTTACACGGCTGAACCCTTTTTTTTTTTTGGTGGGTTTTGTGTGTTGAATCATCTATCAGCTAGTCGGAACAGTGGTGGCTTCCTCCGTGTACTTCAGCACAGCCTGGTGGCTTCTCACAACAATTGATCACATCTGTGATCAATCAATGCTGCCAGCTGGGAGTCCCTGGACTTGCCCTGGCGATGAAGTCTTCTACAATGCCTCCATAATATGGGGAGTCATGGGCCCACTCCGAATGTTCACACAACAAGGCATCTATCCAGAGATGAACTGGTTCTTCATCGTGGGTTTCCTCACCCCATTCCCGGTATGGATCCTATCCAGAAAATTCCCCGAAAAGAATGGATCCAGTTGATCAACATGCCCATCATCTTTGGGGCTACAATGTCAATGCCACCAGCTAGGGCTGTGAATTACATCACTTGGGCAACTGTGGGACTCTTCTTCAATGTCTATATCTATAGGAAGTACAAGGAATGGTGGGCTAGGCACACCTATATCTTGTCAGCTGCTCTTGATGCTGGGGTTGCATTCATGGGAGTGATCCTCTACTTTGCCCTTCAATCCAAGGACATTCTTGGTCCTTCTTGGTGGGGTCTGGAAATGGATGACCACTGTCCTCTCGCCAAGTGCCCTACAGCACCGGGGATACAGGTTAAAGGTTGTCCTGTTCTTTGATTTGCTAAAAGGCCATTGAGGTTGGAATCTTGAGAAACGTGATTTCAAGAATGATATTAAAAGTGCATTGGGACAGAATGACATAAAAATTTGAGAACAAATAATTTTGTACCTGCTACAAAAGTAACCTTTTACTTTTGTGGGGGCAAACTATATCTTGTAAATTATGTAGTGAAATTTACTATAGTTGATGATGCTCACAAATATTATAATTATGATGAAAGAGTGGAGAGAAGAGGATATGCTGTAAAGTACTCACTTTAGTTCAGAAAATGATGTCAACTTTGAATAGGGATATAAAACGCTCATTTTGAATGTAGTATATATGTTGAATTTTAAAAAAACAAGAAAAAAGAATGTAGTATATATGTTGCTTCTGTTATTGGATGATTTTTCAGTTAATATTTGAAGATTTGAGGTCTGGATTGATGGTAAACAAATGAACAGATGCTTCCAACTTTAGACAACAAATTTGAGGTCTGAATGTGGTATTGTTAGGTAATGCTTCCGTTTCTTGTTCCTTGTTTCGTTTTCATTTTTTTTTTTTTAAATAAAAAAAATTGGAAACAAAAAAATTGTTTGGTATGTTTTTGTTTTGAAAAAGTGAAAATGATTTCAAAATTTTCAACTTCTTACAAATGGAAAAAATGTTCTTTCACTTATTTTCAAAACAAGTTTTCACAATCTCCTCCCTCTCCCACTACATCTGGCCATCACCAACCTTCGCCACTAGCTACTGCAAGTCAAATTGCTTGAGGAGTTAGGAGGTTAGCAAATATCCTAAATAAACCTGCATCCAACTATTCCCATCCATATGCTGTCAAATATTTTAAAAAGCAGAACTTGATTTGGCGATGTTATACTCCAACAGAACACTGAGAGAGAGAGAGAGAGATCTTTCATTCCATAACAAAGACTAGAAACCTTTGTCTAAAGAGTTCCATACATTAACAAAATTTCACCATAGCATGAACTCTCTCAAGCTCTGTGTAATCTTAATCTGTTTGTGCCCTATGGGTCCATTCAAATTCGAGCATAAGCAATTGAGTGAAAATAATTAGTAACCAACAATTGCCTATTGTGCCGAATGCTTATGATCACTTGAAGAGTTCTGGGTTCAACCAGTCCCTGCAAAGAGAAGCAAATCGAAAATTGTTTGCGTCAAATTCAATCAAATGCAAATCTGCCATGCAAAATAGTGCGTGGAAATTAACACACACTCCTACTTGCTAATGTCATCTAGGTGGTGAGAAGAAATGTAGTCCAACAGCACTATATTTGCCGATGGCTCCTTGATTGCCAATCAGTTGCTTCTGTCTGATCCAGCTAGTTTCCAACACTTGGATGAATCTCTTGTATAAAGCTAAATAATGAAGATAGAAATAAATATCAAGCCTGCTTTTAAAAAAGAACTGAAAATAAAACCTTAAAACTCCAAAGACGTATCGGGTTTTCCATGTACAAACATGGGACGACAAGTCAAATTCAGCCAAGTCTGCCGCGTGCAATGCAAACCAATATGCAAAAGGGATAACTGAGACTACAATGCAAAAGACAAAATATTAAGATCGATATGTCTAAAATATATCAAGATAACAAAAAACAATTTATGAAAAAATAGTTGCACACGGATAAGTTGAGATGACATAATAAAACAAACAGGAAATTGCCATTGCTTTATGCTTGTATTTGCATGCAAAAGGAGTCACACTTGAGAAATTTCATTGCAGGGGTTACAACCCTTATTCCTTTGTTAGGATGAAATTCAAAGTACTAATAATCCAGATGGCTTTCATGTCCTGTAGAGAAATTGTTAGGAGTTCAATCCAAATCACACCTTTCTTTCTATTAAAGCCATCTAAGGAAGCTATATGCAATCATCTGCTGAACTTACAACTAAAAGTTTTCACAAAGTAACTAGACTTCCAAAAATGGAAACTTTTCTCACGGTATACAATACCCAAGAGGGACTTTCCTCCATTTGCACCACATACAGATAAGCAAGCAAACACCAGAGAATACTGAAAAAAATCTGAAAAACTTTTACTTCCAAGGCAAAGGTGAAAACTTTAGAACGTAAATCAAATGTCAGTGCAACAGGCTAGTAACAGCAAGAAGTTTCTTCGCCCAAGTCATTCAATCACCGAAAGAAAACTAAACAGTTAAAACTCATCTGCATCAGGTACAGGAGATTATACAACAATGACTATGGTAATAACAGAAAAACTCACCTGCATCGCAGGGCTCCTGTCCTTTCCCTTTGGTAAAGCATCAAGTTTCTTGTTATCTAACTGAAATTCAAAGAACATACACAAAAATAAATTAATAGAAATATAATACATATGCATAAGTTGACAGAAAAGAAACAGAATTTAACAATGGTGTAATTGAAAAGCTGCCAAAAGCAAAGCTGCTTGGGGGAAGAACCGATGTATGAGATCGCCAATGTTCTTGGCGACATTACTGAGCTCGAAATCATCAAATCACTCGTTGGCATGGAAGTAACCAACAATATCCAAACCATGAGCAGTATAGTACTCCTTTATCTATTCCAATGGATCATCCATAAAGGAAAAGGGTGTTAATTCACTGTTGACATTTTTTTCTATTTCATCCTTAACAGTTCTTTAGTATATATGCTTCTTCAATATCATATATGGATGAGTTAAAATGAAACCATGTGAAATAGGAATATGGGTAAGATTTCTTTTTTCTTTCTTGTATTGTTATGGCCAATCCTAATATCATACAAAAATACACAACCAATTAGTTTGGTTTCTCACCAAATTCCACCATTTTTTTATGAAAAATTAAAGTGTCATTATAAGAAAATTATCTTTCTCACTATTTCCTCAATCAATACGGGTTGTAAACTATCAATTCCAACTATTTATTTAGTAGTTTATTTTAATTCATATGATCCAATTAAAGACACCGTTAAGTGACGGTGAAAACCCAACTAAATGGAAAAAAAATATATATATCTATTTTACAATTTAGATGACTTAAATCATATTCCTATCTTCTTACGCGGCCTATATTACATTAAATCAAAACTCAATTTCTCCTCCACCCCTCTGTTAATGAGGTAAAAAATGAAAAAAAATTTAATTTAATTGTATGGTTGAAGTTGGCAAGTTTCTCCAACCAATTAGACCACATTAACTAAAAGGGTCTTACTAACAAAATAAAAAAATAAAAATAAAAAATCTCGATAACAAAATAAAATTTTCATTTTTAAAAATTTTACAATTTAGATGACTTAAATCATATTCCTATCTTCTTACGCGGACTATGTTATATTAAATCAAAACTCAATTTCTCCTCCACCCCTCTGTTAATGAGTTAAAAAATGAAAAAAAATTAAATTTAATTGTATGGTTGAAGTTAGCAAGTTTCTCCAACCAATTAGACCACATTAACTAAAAGGGTCTTACTAACAAAATAAAAAAATAAAAATAAAAAATCTCGATAACAAAATAAAATTTTCATTTTTAAAACATTAAAAAATAAAATAAAAAAATTTGTAAATTCCGAAATAAACTCATCACAAAATTCTAACACCTTTTAAAAATTTCAAAACACTTATATCACAGGCCGATAATATGTGTCATGGAACACTAGTTAACATTTAACTAAAATTAAAAACAATCAAACAGATGAAACTGATAGATAATGAAATACAATAAATAAAAAAAAATGTAATAATTGAGTAGTATAAAAGTGAAATTAACAGAAAAAATCCGAATAAAATGTTACATTTAAAAGTATAATTATTTGTGAATCAAAATTTCTTCCAAATCCAACGTTTTTAGTCTGCCTAAAACAAAAATAAAAAAAAGTCAGGTTAAAAACTGATACTGATGGACATTCAAGAAGGCCTAGCCCACGGACACCCAAGAAGGCCCAATCCCTAGTTCAGGGCCCAACTCACGAACCAGGTACCAATGCCAGGCCAAGGCCAATGGCATTCAAACACTTGTCAGGCAGGGAATTGGCCACATAAGCAGACAAAGATCCTGTAAAGTTATTACACCCATACATCAGCCATTTAATGAGGCCACTATGGCATTTAATACGGCAGAGACCTCTCACGCCGGAAGAGATAGAATCACCATGAATGATGTTAACTAGACTATAGACTTTCGGCCAACAAGACAGCTTAGAATAGACATGGAAATGATGAGCAAAAAGATATAAAGAAACTTTCGAGATACGTTAAAGGTTAAGCTTTACCTTCCCACTCCTCATTTTCTCTCTCTCAATCAAAATAGCAGTTTATCTTGACCTAACTTGATCGTCTGAGTGTCTGTGACAGGTCAACCACCCCTTTGTGGACCTTAGAGGACCCCAAGGCCAGCAGAACAGTTAGAAGCGTGGATCAGTCCGACCCGTCTACCATATAGGTATTCGCATTATCAGTTGGCACTATCTATGGGAAAGATCTTTGGTCGACAGTTGTGTTCATTATCATCGGAGAGAAGTCCTTTATCACCCATTTCCTACCTTAGGGTGGATGGCCGTGACAAGGTCCATGGCTTCATAACACAATGCTGGCAATCCTGAAGCCGAATCCTCTAACCCAAATAACCCACCTCCATATTTCACCGAGCTCACCAACAGCATCAACCGGCTAACTGAGCAAAACCAAGTCCTGATTAACACCCTGCTCCAGCGTGATCTGTCTGTCCCTCCTCCACCATAACAGATAGTTCTTTCCAACCCTGCACAAACCCACGATCATCACCCATTTCCACTACATGTGTCCCAAGGAACATTCTCCCCCATCGCCCCGCGTCCTTAACCATCACATCTAGACAATCTAAACCCCCTCCCCCAAGACCATAATCCCGCCAAGAGGGACTACCACTTTTCTATAACCATCATCCGCCGCACCACGCTGTCGTCCATGAAGGCGAAGCTAGCAGTGTTCAACCCCCGATTCATGCCTGTGGGGACAATGCCCCTGTTTGGGACGAAGAATTACGGGCCATAAAGATTCAGCTGCAAGGGGTCATGCAAAATTTGCAACATAAACCTTCTTCAACCGTGAACTCCCCTTTCACCGCTTTCATCAAGGATAAAGCTCTGTCTCCCTAAGTTCAAAATGTCGTCGATTGACACCTTCGATGGTACTACCAATTCGGTCGACCACGTGGAAGCGTATCGGACACTTATGATCCTCCACTCTTTTCCCAACGAGATCACTTTGGTTCAGCCAGCTCCCTCCGGGCTCTATCACTTTATTCCACCAGCTCAACGAGTCCTTCCTCAGCCACTTCATCGATGCTCAGTGGCAGCAACATCCAGCGACTCAACTACTAAACAACCCCAGACTAAAG